AGAGAGAGAGAGAGAGAGAGAGAGAGAGAGAGAGAGAGAGAGAGAGAGAGACAGACAGACAGACAGACAGACAGACAGATACAAAGAGAAATTTTAAAAAAACCAACTCGTAAGGCATACTATACACTGACAAGAAAACTGTGCCTCCTGTATCTCGCCTACAGATCAAGAAAATCAGCACCGGCTACGACGGGCTCCGGCAGAAGAACTCTCGCTATAGACAACAGCTCAAAGACAAGAATGAACAACTGAAGAAACTGCAGGATGAGCATAGTAGAGTCACAAGACACAGCACATCGGAGGTAGGAGGGAGGGAGACGCATCGTCAGTGTGTCTGTCTGTTTGTTTGTTTGTTTGTTTGTTTGTCTGTCTGTCATAAGAATACACGATATTATGTTTTATGACGCAGTGGCATCGGGCAGTCGTCAGTTTTAGGCATAATAGATATATTCAATAATAATTTCAAGTCTGTTCACTTGTCTTATTTTTTGTTTAAAATAAATAAAATTTTAAAGCATTTGTGTCATGACGTAGTGGAATCAACCGCTCGTCAAATTAGGGGCATAAGGAGTTATTGATATAATCTCAAAGCCTGTTCATTTGCTTAGCTTTTGATTTTTAAAAATACCAATTTCTCAGGGACACAATTCAAGATATTTACGATTGAAGGAGGTTGGGGTCGCCTGGTTTCAGATGTAAAATTAGCCAGAAAATGGCAGTCAAAGTTGAGTTACATCCTTAGCTTCAGAGTCCGTGGAAACTGAAAATTTATATCTTTTATGACTTTATTCGTCGCTTTTCTGTAAAATCCACTCAGAAATGTGTTCTTTGATGGGCATGAAAGGTGTTGAACCCCCCTCCCAAAAACAACAACAAAAAAACAACAACAATTCGACAAAAATTCCCAAACCTGTGTGAAAATGCCAGTTTCTTGATTTTCATTATTTGAAGAGCACCTGATTTCACTAAGCTTCCTTACATTTATATTGAATAGAAGTCGAGATATTTGCTGTTGTAGCAGGCAGCAGTCGCCTTGGTTCCTAGGTAAAGTTAGCGAGAACATGGCCTCCAAATTTTGGTGACTTCCTAAGCTTGAGCGCCTTTTAACCTCTTCACTGCTACGTCTAGGGCTAAAGGCTCCTCTGTGTGCTTTGAGTGACTACATTTAACCCTTTAACTGCCCGGCCCGAGTCGATTCCTCTACTTGGACTTAATGACTAAGCCAACACTGATGCTATACCCCGTACATCCCATCTCCCCCCCCCCCTTTCCATTGTTCCGTCTCCCCTCATCTCTCTCCCACACCAACACACTCATCCCCCAATTACTATCCCAACACAACTCCTCCCATTACTTTCCCCAAACAACCCCTCCCATTAATGCTCCCATTACTACTTTCCAAACAACCCCTCCCATTAATGTTCCCATTATTACTTTCCAAACAACCCATTCCATTATTTTCCATTACTTTCCCCAAACAACCCCTCTCATTACTTTCTGCAAACAAACCCTCCCATTAATTTTCCCATGATTACTTTACCCAAACATCCCAAACAACCCCTCCCATTACTTTACATTTCTTTCCTCACACCCAGCCTACCTAATTCCCCTCAACCCTCCTCCCACTCCCCCTTTCTCCCGTCCCAAACCCCCTTTCTCCCGTCCCAAACACCTCACACCC